GGGGGGGGGGGCGACACATGCTCTGTTTTTGGTGGCAGAAGTAGCTTGGGCTCGTCCTTTGCTGTTTCCAGGGTGGCCCTATGGGCCAGATTGAAGGACCCGGCGGCCAGATCCGGCCCCTGGGCCTTGAGTTTGACACCCCTGCTCTAGATGATTTTGTGTATCTTCTCTAGATGTTGTGGTTTTAATGAATTCCGATTATTCTTTTTTTGTTTGTTTGTTTTGAGCTTGGAGGGGAATATAACTTTAAACAAGCATCCAAGGTATTTGAAGACTCCACTTTGGGGTCTTGGAGCAGTTGTGGTATTCAGCTGGTTCAGACGGTTCGGGTGAACCAATAGTAGTGACCCAGGCTGGCCATGCCCCTGAACCACTTCCCCGGTCTCCACTGCCGTTGCCGGCATGTTTTTTATTAGCTGTTCATGGTCTTCGTGCATGCACAGAACAATTTACATGAACTGAGCATGCCTGAGCAATGTGCATCTATCGCGCGCACGAGCCAAGCAAACTGGTACCAACGGTGGTAGGAACCCACCCCTGACCTGGACAATTGGGAATGTCCATTGATGGCGCTATGCTGTCTTATTTAGCCATGTTTTCTAAGCTGTGGGCGTGCGTGGTTTTTGGTGAACGGTGAACTGATGGTAAAATTACGTGAAACCCACCTCTGTCTTGGAGCTACTTCTGTTCACAGTTACTAAAACCTGGTGGCATAGCTTCTTTTCATCTTGAGAGGGAAATGCTCAAAATTTGAATGAATTCCCAAATTAGCATAGTCTAAGAAGAAAAGAAGAAGCTACCCATACTCTCCTGAAAATGTGTTATCCCCAAAGATCTGGGTCTTGTTTGATTTGGGTCATTCCTTCCCATCTTCTGACCATGTTCTCGAAGGTTAAATGTCATTCCCAGCTATCAAAGTCTGTGCATCCTTTGCCAATAAATCTTATTATCAATAAATATTAGATAATCCCAGAGTTTGCTCCATGCATGGCCGCTATAGAACACTACCTCAACACAAAGCTTTTGAGATGTTGGCATTCTTGAGATGCTGGAACCGTGGACCTCTTTTTCTCAGAACATGACCAGTAAGGATTCTGAGATATGGTCCAATGCATTTGGGGTTTTCCAAGTTGGAGAAAGTTGGTGGGCAGAATGATGTAATGCCATTTGTCATACCTGCAGGTATCCCAGCTGCTGAGCCAAGCACCGCGTGACTGAAGATGAGAGGGGATGAAATGAACACAGCCAGCATGATGACGCCACCAGTCCAAGGGTTATCGCAACCGTAGACCTGCCCAATTCCTACTGGAATAGACCTCAGAAGCTGTGAAACAAGAAAAGAAAAGAGTTGAAGATCATACCAAAAGGACTTCCATTGCGATCTTAAGCAAGTGGTCAATATTATTATTGCGTGGTTAATCTTTGGTGAGATTCACAGCCTTTGGGGCTGGTTGGTAGCTCAACAGCTTGATTCCTAACTAAGGACCTAGGAACTGTTAAGGTAACGTTGAATTATTATTATTATTATTATGCAATTGTATCACAGCGGCCAGTTGTTTCNAAAAAGAAGGGAAAAAGGAAGGAAAAAAGAAAGGAGAGGAAAAGGAAAGGAAAAAAGAAATAAGGAGGAAAAGGAAAAAAGAAGAAAGAAGAAGGAAGGGACAGAAGGAAGGAAAAGGAAGGAAAGAAGGAGGAAAGAAAGGAAAGAAAGGAAAAAAGGAAGGTAGGAAGAAAAGGAAGAAAGGAAAGAAAAAAAGAAGGAAAGAAAGAGGAAGGAAACAAAAGGAAAAAGGAAAGGAGGAGGAAAAGTAAAAAAGAAGGAAAAAAAGGAAGGAAGGAAGGAACAAAGGAACCCGTTTTTCAGAAAATCTTTTGTACAGTGTTTCTCTACCTTAGCATCTCTAAGATGTATGCATGTCAACTCCCAGATTTGGGCTGGCTGGGGAATTCTGGGAGTTGAAGTCCACATCTCTTAAACTTGCCCGCATGCTCTCTTGATAACTCTGGGAGTTGAAGTCCAGAGGGCTTAAACTTGCTGAGGTGGAGAAACATTTGCTCTGGAATGATGATAACCAAGGCATTCAATAACCTCGCACCTACACCTGTGCTTCCATCGGGCCTTATAGAGGTAGCAGAAACGAGGCCTACCTTTTAGCCAGTCTCCAAACACCTTCATATCTCCGCTGACACAGCTCAGGGCTCTCAACATTTTCTGGCAGCATTCGCCTGTTGTCTTTTGCGTTTTGTCACATTTTTCACCAGCGGCGTCGATCTCCATTGTGAGTTTTGGATCCTGCACGAACAAAAGCATCAAAGCATCTGACTGATTGTGTCCTCTTGAACTTCCTTTTGGCCAACAATGAGCACTGGCTTTCCATGGGAGTGTGAGAAGCAACTCAGAGCAAAACAACTATGGAATCTGCAAGTGTTAGATATTTTCAAGAATAGTATAAGACGGTGTTTCTGCCTTCTATAAGATTTCCATACTAACTAGGGGATTCTGGAGGTTGACGTCCACATCACCTATAATTCAGTGGTGGGTTTCAAAAAAAAATTGGAACCTCTTCTGTAGGTGTGGCCTGCTTTCCGGGTCCACTGGTGGAAACTCTTCTAACCGGTTCGGTAGATTTGACGAACTGGTTCTACCGANCTTGTCTCCAGAAGTTGTGAATGCTCCAACACTGGAAGTTTTTAAGAAGAGATTGGACAGGCATTTGTCTGGAACAATATGGTCTCCTGCTTGAGTAGTGGGTTGGACTAGAAGACCTCCAAGGTCCCTTCCAACTCTGTTATTCTGTTAAAATGGCTTGATGTATGAGCAGATTGTGTAAACGCCGCCAATGAGGATGCAATGTCAAAATACAGACAGCAGTAACTTGCCCTGCCTTCCACAATTCCACAACAGGGTTTTGTTTCTGTTGTTCGGAAGTTTATGAACTGGGACGGTTGCCAAATGTGTATATCTCTGGCAACATCTGGTGTGGCTCCTACTGCCAATAACGCTGTAAAATATGACACACATTTATTATTCTCTGCAAAAACATCACGCAATTGGGAAGTTGATTGAGAGGCTCAGTGCATGCAGAAGATACAAAACAGCTAATTTATGTTGCTCGCATGGAAGTTGGCAGATGGCCTGAACATCTCTAGGCCAGCTTGTGTTGGGATTGTGGCACACCCCTCCGAGTGTATAATTTAACATCAGAGTGGCAGGCAGGCAAGGGGAATGCATGATGTGGGATGGGGCTTTGGAGGGGGAAAGAGATGGCTGAGAGAGGGAGACTGAGAATAAATAACTTGTGATGTGTTTATTATGTAAAATAAGGGTGAGCCTAAAGCTTATTGAAGGATGAGCAATGACAGCTTTGGCTGGTGGGGAGAGAGGGGGGAGTAGGGAGAGAGAGAGAGGGAGGGAAGGACTGAGGAAAGGAAAGAAGAAATGAAGGAGGAAAGAAAGGATAGAGTGAAAGGAAAGAAAGGAAAAAAGGAAGGAAGGGAGAAAAGAAAAAAGGAAGGAAGGATGGAAAAGGCAGGAAAGGATAGAAAAAAGAAGGAGGGAAGGAAAGAGGAAAGAAAGGAAAATGAAAGGAAAGAAAGGAAAAAAGGAAGGAAGGGAGAAAGAAAAGAAATGGAAGAAAGGAAGGAGGACGGGAGGAAAGAAAGGAAACAGAGAAAGGAAAGAAAGGAAAGAAAAAGGAAAGAAGAAAGGAAAGAAGAAAAAGGAAAAAGAAGAAAGAAAAAGNCAACAACAATCCGGGTCCTCATTTTACCCACCTCGGAAGGATGGAAGGCTGAGTCAACCCTGAGCCTGTGAGATTTGAACAGCCGAACTGCAGTCAGCTGTAGTAGCTTGCAGTGCTGCATTTAACCACTGCGCCACCTCGGCTCTTCCTACGATGTTGGAAGAAATGTCCATTTGGGTTCAGTTCCAAGTGGGGGGAAAAGACCCTGGAAACACGGAGGCTGCTTGGAAAGATGGTTTAAGATGGTCCCGCTCACCTGCGCATGCGTGCGCGTCTCCCACATGCATGGCAGAGACCTGAAAAATCAGCTGGCCAGTGGGCGGCTCATGCGCATGGACAGTGCAGCTGAGCTGGGCGAGGGCTGGTGTGCCCGCAGAGAGGGCTCTGTGTGCCGTAGATTCGCCAAATCACGGATCCAGGCGTTACAGCTGGTCCAGAATGCACCAATGCCTGCAGTTTTGTGCCTCTAGATTTGGCCAGGTAAAAACCTCTGTTGTGTGACTTGCACTGATTCACTGACTTCCTTCTGGGCACAGTTCAAGGTGATGATTATTACTTTTAATAGTGCCTATATGGCACTAAGGTATCTGCAGAACTATGTCTTGCCATCTGCCCATCCCACGAGATCAGATGGGATAGGTGTGCCTCCAAGACTCATCCTGGAAATATTGTTATCTAGTTAGCTAGACTTTGGAAACACAGTTTTTTCCCATGCTTTCCATGGTTTTTTTTAGAAATCATAGAATCCTACGGTTGGGAGGAACTGTGGAGGTCTTCTAGTCCAACCCTCTGGCACAGGCAGGAATTTTAATACTATCCCAGGCAAATGGTTCTCCAATCTTTTCTTGAAAATCTCCAGTGATGGAGCATCCACAACTCCAGAGACAAGCCATTCCCTTGATTGTTTCCACTATCAAGAATAAACAGTGTAGGAAGGGACCTTAGAGGTCTTCTAGTCCAACCCTTGAAGCCAAGGGTTGGACTAGAAGCCAAGTAAACAGAGGGGTCACCAAATAACCATGCCACAAAAGCAGTTTTTCCTGCACTTTAATCCACAAAAAAGGTGTTTGTTATTCGTGACAACAACAAAGCAGTATGTTGGAAAACTGCCTCTGTGGGCTGGGTTAGGAAATATTATTATGGCACTTGACTTTATAGGTGGTGTAAACTGCCTACAATGATATCACCTTAATTGGGCATAATTAACATGTTATTCTCTCTCTCTCCCTCCCTCCCTCCCTCTCTCTCTCTCATCTATATATCTATATATCTATCTCTATCTATCTATCTATCTATCTATCTATCTATCTATCTATCTATCTATCTATCTNGTTGGCTTTTTTGGCAGCTGCTGCACACGGCTGGCTCCTATTTAAATGGTTGCCCACTAGGACTCCAAGATCCCTCTCACAGTTATTACTATTGACTACATACACTGTACCTGTGCATCTTGGTTTTCTTCCCTAAATGTAGAACCTTACTCTTTTCACCATTGAATTTCATTTTGTTAGATAGCACCCCATGTTCAAGTCTGTCAAGGTTCTTCTGTATCTTGTGATCTAACTGTGTTAGATCCACTCTATCAACATGAGCATTGAAGACAAAGTGTGGATGGATGCCTACCTGGGCTTCCAGCCTCTTCAACAATGGCATACTTTGACAAGAGTCTTGGGCCCCTGCTGAGCATTGCTGGTGCTTACATCCAGAGTCATAAGACCTGCATCCCTCTGGTGAAAGCTGAACTGGGACTAGGAGAGAGGAAGGGCTGAAGGGACTTCCATCCATCTTTGCTAGCGTGGCACGTACGCTAAAGGGCAGAGAGAAGGAAGTCAAGGACAGACTCTCTGCCCTGAGTTTATGATTTTATAGACTCTGGATCAAATGCTCCTAATGATTTTATTTCGTTTTATGACCAGGTGGGGAAAAAACAGCTCAACTCTTGGAGGCATGTCAGTCAACCCTCAAGGAGCTTTCTCATCCTGACTTTGGGCACGACATACCAAAACAGTTTTCATATCTTTCAAGTTAGACTTTAGAGCCGGATGAAAGCCGAGCGAGGCAAAGGTGAATAAAATTCTCGAAGTTGGGAAGTGGTTGTCGTGCATTTATTGACTAACACACCTGCTAAAGTGTCTTTCTACGTGTCTACTCAGGCCATCGCCTTATTTTTCATTTTTATAGTAGTATAGCCTTTATGGTCATTGCACATCATCATGTATACAATGAAATTGTTTTTATCATCATGATCTTCAGCTGCTCACCCTTCCATTAAATTCAAGAGAACCAACCTAGAACTAAGGAGAAATTTCCTGACAGTGAGAACAATCAATTGGTGGAACAAGTTGCCTCCAGAAGAACTCTAGAGCAGTGTTTCTCAACCTTGGTGACTTTAAGTCCTGTGGACTTCAACTCCNTGATGGATTGTGGGTGGGGACAAGATCATGAACTTTTAACTGGGTGGAATTCTGATGTCATTTCCAGTATTGGGATTAACACAGATGAGCCTAAAATGTCTGCTTTATTAAATTGGAACTTTAAGGATAGTTTTGCCTTGGACTCTGATTTAATTCTGCATGATACTTGGAACGCTGACACCGAGTTTGGCACCCCTGTCCTAGGCATTCTATACAATGCCAGCATTTCACAGATTGCTAGTAAGAGATGCATAGCAGAAACCAAGCCATCAGTGATGGGTTCCGGCTGGTACACCCACCCGGTACACCCGTACCGGTAGTATTTGGGAGCAGCGATCACCGTATGGTGGGTCATTTGGCCCACCTGCCCACCCGCGTTCCATACCTGTTTTAAGGCAATCGGGTCAATTGCGACAAGCAGCTAGGTGTCGCAGGGGCAGTGGAGTGCGCATGCATGTGCAGCGTATGTCAGGCTCGTGCACGAACGGACCACAAGCAGAGAAGGTGAGAGCAACTCGCCACTGCAAACGATCCAGGTCAACGCCCTTGCGGTATTCACACTTATGTGAAGCTTCTTCCTTTAGAGGTTCCGCCTCCCCCTGCACACACACACCAAAGGACACACACACAGCAAGGGGTATATGGTGGGTATCATCTTACCATAGACACTTGAGCGCCGGACCAAGAGTTGTTGGGCAAAGAGGCGGTTGGTTCAATCAGCGTGGTAGGGAAGAAAGAATTATAATGGCCGGTGGCCCCGAGAAACAGACTCAGAGCCAAGTTGAAAGGCAGCGTGAAAACCGGAAGGTCCCATTTGCTGAAGAGCGAAGCTAAAGCGCTGGTAAAGATGGGGCTGAAAAAGAAGAATAGGAATGATTGGAGAAAGAGTGCAGTCACTTTTGTTATAGTCTTTGCCAATATCATGGCTTTTTAAAATCAGGACAAAGGATAGAAATATTACCAGATCTCTCATTTCTCATTTACTTACACACACACACACACACACACACACACACACACAGACACAGACACAGACACATAGACACACAGACACACAGACACACAGACACACACTAGTGGTGAGTTCCAGATCCCGTTGCAACCAGTACGCTGCGATGGGGCCGGACGCCCACCTCGGGCACCCACACTTCGCACGCGACCGCCCTGCGATGCCCAAACTGCTTGATGAGGTCGCACAGGTGCCGTATGCTGTGCGTATGTGTGCAATTGGCCCGTTTCCCTAAAAAATAGGTAAGGAATGTGGGCGGGCAGATGGTCCCACTGAAACACCATTCTGGTACAGTGGCCACTGTTCCCAGCTGCCACTGGTATGCCCCGTACTGGGCCGTACCGCCCAGAACCCACCACTGACACCACTGACACACACACACACACACACTGAGTGGTATGGCGGCCTAGAGGTGGAGCTCTTGCCTCACAATCAGGAGTTCAATCCTAGGTAGAGGCAGATATTTGTCTCTCTGGGCACGATGCGAACATATCTGCTGAATGTAACTCTGCATTGGCAACAGGAAGGGCATCTGGCCAGTAAACACTCAGCTCCATTCAGATGCCCAGACTCCATCCTGCAAGGGATCATGGGGTCATTAAATGAAGATGAGGATATATAGACTCACCAGGTCATGGACATGAGAACAACAGGAAGTAGGAGCCACCAGTAATATTCCCCCTTGTCTGAGAAAACAGCCATCAACATCCCTACAAGGACACCGTTGTAGCCATGAAGTCCGGCAGCAATTGCGGATCTAGGTAGCAAGCATGGAGAGAAGTTACTTTGCAAATGTACCGTATTTTTCGGACTATAAGACGCACCGGAGTATAAGACGGACGATGATTTTGAAGAGGTAAATTAAAAAAAAGTTTTTGCACTCTGCAGGCCTCCCAAACCCTCAGACCACCTTGTTTTTTTTGCAAAAAAAAAATATTGCATGCATAGGCTTTGGGAGGCTAGCAGGGCTGGGTTTCTTGCCCCGTTCCAACCGGATCGGTTGGAACGAGGCCGGCGGCGTCCTCGCGCACGCACGCGGCGTCCTCGCGCACGCACGTGGCGCGCGCATGCGTACTAGCGTCTGCGCGATGCTCCAGCTGCTCCTGGAGGATCGCGCAGGCGCTGTATGCGTTCTGTGCATGCGTGGAAAGCGCAGAATTCGTAAAAACCAGGTAAGGAGCGGGCGCGGATGTGCGGACACGCGCGGGCGCGGAGGGGGGGCTTCGCCGTTCCCGGAAGTTACTTACTTCCGGGTTCGGCGACCAACCGGATCGCAGGGACCGGTGCGAACCGGTCGAAACCCACCCCTGGAGGCTAGTAGAATGCTCCTGGGGGCTGGGGGAGTCAAAAATGAGCAAAAATGGGGTGTTTTTTGCTTGTTTTTGCCCTCCCCAGCCCCCAGGAGCACCCTACAAGCCTCCCAAAGCCTATGCACGTCCATTTTTGCAAAGGGGGGTAGGTTTTGATAGTCCAAAAATTCTGTATTCAGTGCATACGATGCACCCAGATTTTCACCCTCTTTTTTGGGGGAAAAAGGTCCATCTTATACTCTGAAAAATACGGTAGGATGCAGACACACCAAGGTGGACATTCTTGAACATCACCTAAACTCATGCAGATCTACCATTTGGAATGTGCATATCTTCAAAATCAAGCAATTTTTAAAAAAATGAACACCAATTTTGTGGGTGCCTGTAGAAATTGAGCAAATAAATACATGTTATGTCCTCCAGGCATCCAAAAATTTCAGTAAATCTCTCTGTCTGAAATTAAAAATGGTCTTCTTAATGGCTTAATAAAGAAGTGGATACATCACAGTATTTTTCCTAGTTTGATAACTATATTTGAGCTTAGCTGACTCCCTTTTTAATGTAACCTTATATTGGAAAGTCTGATCAAAGATCATAATAAAAAATATTAGATTTGATTTGATTGCATGAATGTTGCTACTGGTTTATTTATTTATTAGAATTTGACAAACAAAAATGAGAACAAGAATAAAAACAGAGTGACAGGGACGATAGGCACGTGATTGCACTTATGCAAGCCCCCCTCTACTGACCACTTAAGTATGAAGTAAGATCCGTGGAAGCCAACTTGTGACTGAAACTGTGAAAATTTGTGGCTGAAACTGAATCAGGTAGAACATTCCAAACTTTGACAACTCTATTATAGAAATCATATTTTTTACAGTCAAGTTTAGAACGATTTACATTGAGTTTAAAATGGTTGTTTGTCCATGTATTATTGTGATTAAAACAAAAAAAGTCATTGACAGGTAAAACATTACCGGTATAATTTTGTATGCAGTACCTAAGTCAGACTGCAAGCAACACAGTTCTAAGTTAGGAGAAATGTCGGAGAAATCCAGTGGCTAATTTTATCTGAGCATTGGAAGAGGAGGAGAATTGTTTTTTTCATAACTGTTATTAATAATATGTATTTATAACATCCCATAGATCCATCTTATCTTACAACGGTCCTACTTCTTGTTCCCTCCCTCCCTCTTTCCTTCCCTCGTTTCTTCTCTCCTACTCCCCTTCCTTAGAGCCGAGGTGGCGCAGTGGTTAAATGCAGCACTGCAGGCTACTTCAGCTGACTGCAGTTCTGCAGTTC